TCGTATCGATTTAAGGAGAATGTAGACAAATCAGTAATGATGTATCCAGCGGACAGAATTGAATCAAAAATTTTTCCGGAGAGCCCTATTCATAGATATGTACTCAGTATTAGTTAAAATAGTAGACTTGACATCCTTGGGGGACGCTTCTTAGACATCAATGAATTTAATCGATGTCAAGGGAAAGGCCCGTTGAATGGAGTTTAAATCATGGCTAGAAGAGTAGTAACTGTTATTGATCGCTTCTTACCGTTCTGAACAGCCCATGGCTTAATTACACACATTGTGCAATCTGCCGAAGTCGCCAGCCGTGGAAACCGCAGCATGCTTGATTCCCCGAAAAAGTAGCCCAGTTGCTAATGTGGTTGGTGTTAGTTCAGCATCAATCGTGTAAATTGGAAGAAACGGAATCGAGCGACCAACCTTGTCAACTAATGATGCGCTAGTCGAGAAGTAAGTTTTGCTTTGCATCGAGTCAGAGGTATTCCCTAGTACATACAATATTCACTAAGTAGGCGGAACGTGAAAGTGATGTCGCTAGTCATAGTACCTAAAACGCTCTTCAGGATTTCCGAAGATCCAATGTTGTTCAATTCAACGACGAACATGTGCCCTCCAATTATCCTAGAAACATCTCTATCGATTTGTTCTTTTCAGTCACAGGACATTACAGATATCGATTGAGGCGTAACTCTAATGACTCACCTATCCTGGGACAGTTCGGCAAATTCTGCAGCGGCTTTAGTCGAGATATTGACCAACCGAATTTTAGACAAAGTCATGGAGTAGGGTGGTGTCGACAACTCATTCAGAATTTTGCCGAGGCAACTTGATGGCGAGGCAGACAGAATTAATAGTGCCCTATATTGCAAAGATAGTGAATGTCAGTTAGTCATTTCATATCTTATGTACAGTTTTCTACGATTCCTGCTTCAAAAGGATTTGATAGATCCGTATGATTGAATGGGCTAAAATGACCGTATTCAAATTCAAAATAGAGAAACAAGTACAACAGATGTAAGAGAAAGACGGTACAACAAACCTCTGATCTTTCTGTCCCAACTTTTTCTTGGTGAATGTATCTGCCCATTCTTTGATAACCAAAGATCTAGCAAAAATCGACACTGTAGCACCAATTTTAAACTCAGCCAAGTTCAGATTCGATTGGGGATGGCGGGTTCTTTTTAAAAACGTTCGTCTGTTCTTTATATCATACTGCGAAGTGTCGAAGGATGGAGCCGCAGTGAGTCAAGGAATTGTCAATGGATGGGCGAGTGTGGTTTCCGCGTTTCAGGGATTGTTTAACAGAGAACATAAATAGACGAATGATAAGTCATGACAAGTTATAACGTAAAGCTATTTGTCTAACAGATAATATACCATTTCAACACTGTTGTCAGCGGGATAGACAAACAGCTGGTATTCTCTCGCAAGCTGAGCATTAGTGTCGAACCATTCCACCAGGAAGGCGTACCGATCTGACGAGGGATCATCAGTTGATTTGGCCAACTTAGGAGGTAAATAAGAATGGATCATGATTGACAAAGTTTATTGTGCTAACGAGTGTATGTGATGCAAAGGAGTGTATATTCGTTGTAGGGTTAGATCAACGAGGAAGAGCGCAGTTCAAACGCGTTTTCAAAAGGAACCTCCTTCGCTTGATAAACCCATCCAGATTTCCGACGGCTGATGCACCCACACAATTTTATTTATTTTCGAGGAAATACAACCCCCGAAAAGCGCTTAAACAGAATATTATTCTACCACACATCCAATCAGATGCATCCAATTGGAATTAGTCACAAAAAAAAGTATGTAGAAGTTGCCATATTTACAGTGCTTAATCACATTTACATTTCACTAACACACACTTCATAAATAATTAAACGAGGATCCGCTGATCCTTGACTTCAAAAGATTTTTCATTCTAAACGTCACGATGTGTACAAGTACTGACGGTCGGATGCAATGGTATATGCGTTCAATAATAGACTCCAGCAACAACACCTACAACGGCAATCATTGCTTTGGTTAACGCCGCCAGTTCTTCGAAATCGTACCCTGGTCGATTAGCAATATCACCCGAGTTGTGATATTTGGGGTCTTGTATAGGCCCATTGCTGCGAAAATGGTGAAAACGGCGCAAGACAAATCAATTGAACGTATTATATGCGAAATGATTGGGCAACATGATGAAAGATTCGGGGAAAGTGAAATAAAAGGACTTACTTCTCGAAGAATGCAGTCGCTGGATACCCTTGTTCAAAAAATGACTGATGATCGGAACAACAAGCTGGAGTTTCTCCAAGGACAATAGATGGCATATATTGAGATATTATCTTATGAATCAAACGTTTATAACATTAGAAAGATAACCAATTTGACCAAGTAATAAAGAAAGGAGAAAATTCTTACCATTTTAACTAACTCAGTGGCTTCTATAGTATGATATCGCTTCGGAAATCCAAGTTGCAATTCTCGGCCTGGTTTTCTGTAGGCTACCATGTCAGCTTGAATGTTCAATATAATGTTGGCATTATTTTTGCGGAGATGTGCCGCGTAGGCTTTTGAACCGAGTAATCCTTGCTCTTCACCAGAGAAGGCAACAATATAGAGGGTCTTCGTTAAACTGACGGTTGAATTGGTGGAAGAGTTACGGGAAAGGACTGAGAGCAATGATAGAATCAGAGACGTTCCAGAAGCATCATCATTTGCGCTAATATGAATTGCGATTAGTAAACAGCCTCATTAAAGAGATAAATTATCACAATTTGGAGGGACCAATTACCCAGGAGCTCGGCCGTACTTCCACGGAAACGTATTGCGGTCATCGTAGTGGGCAGAAACAACCATAACTTCATCTGATTCGGTATCGGTACCCTTGAGTTTACTGTAACAACAGCGAAACGGTAAGCTCAAAATAAACCAGCTATACAATTACTGCACATACCAGATTACGTTAGGTGCATAGTTATCCCTATGATAGAACAATTCAATGTCACATCCAGCCTGCTGGAACCTCTTCTTGATCCATTTGGTCGCCACCTTTATGTCATCGCTTAAAGAGTGTCGTGTTTGGAGCACGCTATCAGATCGTTCACCTGTTAACCATGTCACGTCAGATTTAAGAGACGTTATCGAAACTTTATCTAGTAGGTCGACAATTTGAGGGTTAATTGGTGGTATGGTCGGGGCAGAGTAAGCTTCCAAGAGGGCATTGAGCGTCGCGGGAAGTTTGGGGGCGAAATTGTGTGTAAACACATTTTCTGGGAATGGTAGAGGTTCAAAAGGAACAGGGAGATAAATCGTATTGGGAGGAAGGAAATCGGATAAGATTTCAATGAGGGGAACAGAAGGCATTGCTGATGAAATTATGGCCGGAAGATTTACGTTGACTCGTGGGACTGATATAATTAACCGGCGTGTAGAATTGTAATGAATGATTGGCTTGAAATACGCTCTCTCGGATTCAGGAGACGCAGATTTCAATTGTGAATCCGAAGAATCCAAATCTTGAGAAGCGAAGAGGTCTTCTGAGGGAAACAGATGAGGAGTGGTGATTTCGTTCATCACAATCGTGTTGGAAGGCGATGTTGGTAGGGGAATTGAAGACAAGCTTCTACGAACTGAATCATGCCACTGGCTCAAAGAAACCAAATCCCACTCGTCATTGGAATTATGACTAATTTGCCATTCTAGTACAACCAATTGATCCTGGGGAATTGTGACCCTGCCGCTTCTGAGGATGGGAAAATTCACATATATAGGCTGAATTCTGTTGTCGGGAAGCATATCCCTTAATTGAGAGCCAGAATTGATTGATATAATCGTAACATCTTCATATGAGCCATGGAAGTTAACATGCTGGAGCGAATCGACGTTGAAGTCTGCCAGAGATTGGGAATTGACAATGAAGAAATCGGACGCCTGAGATGAGACGAGAATAGACAAGAAGGTGATCACTAGCAACGGATTAAACATCATTGCTTGCTGCAACTCGAAACTGAACGATATCAAACTATCAGATGAAAGATTAGAAAACGTTGGGTGTGGACTGAAGGAGAGCGAGTTACAGTCACATCCTTTGTGAACCCGAGCACCAGTGACATGGGGACGTGTTTAATTAACTGTCACCAAGGGGCAATCATATCCTGTTTGCACAATTCTCGGATTCCGTACACTATTTATATTAAGAGACATATAATGAAATAATTCTATGTATCTAATGTGTATGTGTGCATATAAACCGCCCTACCGAGTACAAACGATCGGAATGTAGCAGACAAAACACGATCAATGCGGCACGATTACAGAATGCTTAGATCTTATATTAAATTAAAATATCGCCGCCCAAAACAAATCCTCCAAAATGTTAATCCAACCAGCCGGAATCGAACCAGCGACATGATGATTACTTTTAGCATAGTCAAACTACAGTCATCCGCTCTTCCAACTGAGCAATGGTTGGTTGTTGAGATGTATTGTTTTCGTACCGGGTTTATTGGCTTGTAGTGACATCACTGTGAAGCTGTTACTTCTACAAGAGTAATTTAGATTCATGTGATTCTCAAGCAGAATGAATAAAATGTTTTTTTTTTGTGATGAATAGTATACGAAAATCAATCTACCAACCCGCGTTCCAGTTCAACAGTCAACCGCGCTCCACATAAACCAAAATTAAAATTAACACATCATCGCCAGAAGAAATACTGCAAAATATCAATCCAACCAGCCGGAATCGAACCAGCGACATGATGATTACTTTTAGTATAGTCAAACTACAGTCATCCGCTCTTCCAACTGAGCTATGGTTGGTTGTTAATGTATACTTACTTACGCTGTTGTGCTGCTGCCGTTTAAATAAACGGACAAATAAGGGAAAGAGCAAGAAATTTAAGCAGTACAATAGAAATAAAATCCACCAAGCTATCGAGATCTAGAGTAGCATTGATACAGAAAAATAAATGCTGTGATATATTAAAAAGGCCTAGATCGACGTCCCAACCATAGCTCAGTTGGTAGAGCGGATGACTGTAGTTTGACTATACTAAAAGGAATCATCATGTCGCTGGTTCGATTCCGGCTGGTTGGATTTTGCCGATTTTTTGTTTATGGTTTGTTTGGGTTCATACCCGGCTGGTTTTGTTTGAATTTGGTGAACGAAGTCACGGATTCTAGGTGGGTGATTGTCGCGTTTGGAGGGGTTGTATTGATATGGGGGATCAAGATTGATGCTGTAAAAATAGAAAGCAATTTGGTAAGGTTGATGTTGATAGTATTTGAAAGTGGGATTCAGTTTGTGAATTTTGAGTCTAGATAGGCAGGCAAGTTTGAGGGACAGGCAAAAACAGGCGGTCTAGAGGAAATTTTCATGACTCACAATCTACAGACTGTTATATTTATTTTGCTGCATATCTAATCATATTTCATGTTTCTTTCCCCCATGGACAGTGTATAAATATATACATATAACCTGTTGTCCTCGCGCGGTAAAATAAATTTACCAGTCGTTTTTCAACGTCCAAACCACTATCGGGTATATCTAAACTTTCAGTCTAGAGTGATACAATTCTCCTCCACTGCTCTACACAAGAATTAATGGTTACCGTTCACAACGGCGGCATGACCATTGACGGCTCCATTCACACCAAGTTTTCCTTCTTTTCTCTTATACGTTCTCCTGAATTTGCTATCTACTTCGTCCAGATAGTAAGCTCCGTTCCAGATTCCTTGTTCCACATCTCCTTGAGGTTTGTAGTCGGAAGCATTGTGAACTTTTTCTCTCAAGTCCATTAATTCTTCGAATACATGGGGAGTGACAATGGTGCGACTAGATAGGCGTTTTTGCAAGTTGATGGTGGACACGATATTGGAGATGGGTGCGGCGACACGGAAAGAGAACATAGACGAAGCAAGACCAGAACCGTATGAGAACATCATGATTCGCTTGTTAAGCTGTGAATAAGGTGGACAAAGAAGCCGAGCACGTTAGATGCGGAGCACAGTTTATAAGATACTATTGCAAGGATACCAACCAATTCCGATTCGGGAATGCTGCTTAGCAAACTGACCAAACTACCATACAAACTGCCACAATACATGTTGCCCAACATTTTGCATGTCAGCAAAGAAGGATCTGTCTTGGCATTGAACCATTCCGAAGAAAGTTTGACGAAGGCCTTTTCAAGATCCTTATCAAAGTACGACGATTCCAAGGTTGTGTCCTGTGGAAGTGTTGAAATAAGAAAGCGCAGTTAGACGCTGGGAGGTAATGTTGAGACTATTTAATTTGCAAAAGAAATATACTTTGTATTGTTGAGCGGAAGCGAATCGCTTGTCGTCGGGGAACCTCAAAAACTCATTGAGGAACTATCAGCGTTTCAAGAGGTTAGTCGTCTATGACGGCGAAAAGAGAAATATCAATAAACACATACCAAGCGACCGACTGATTTCTGTACAATCTTTGCGTAGGGGGAATGGAAACAGGCATAGTCAATGTTGTCGAGTAAGGGTTTGGTGGTACCGGTCTAAAGTAGGGTCGGTTGAATATAAACAAACAATGGAAATCAAGCAATCGACTACAATTGTTTACCTTATTACTTAGCTTTTGGTAATATTTTTGATAGCACTTGTCCACGGCTTTCATGTAACACACGACGGAAAGTTGACCATCGACCTCGGGGTACTCGGAGGATAGGTTTGGCTTGTAAAAATCATAAGTGTGCTCCATATAGGTTCCTCTCAGACCCTGTTCCATGACAAGGGGAGCGTTAGGTCCAATGAGCATGGCAACGACACCGGTGCCGGAAGTGGGTCTAGCATTTCCGGAAGCGTAGATGGCAATGTCCCCAGCAACGACGATAGCATATCGACCATCCCAGTATGAAGATTCCATCCACTGCACGGCATTGAACAGGGCAGAAGTACCACCATAACAGGCGTTGGTAGTGTCGATACCTTCGAGATCGTTGTTGCCATGTTCGGCAAAAAGTTGCATCAAGACGGATTTTACGGATTTAGATTTATCGACGATGGTTTCAGTACCGACTTCGAGACGACCGATATCATTGTACGAGATGTTATACTTTTCCATCAAAGAGCGGACGACTGTGACATTTGAGAAAGGCGAGGGAGGACATAAGCACGGTCATTACTACGGAAATAGATAGAATTACTAGAAGGCCAGAATATACAAACATACCAGTCAAACAAATAGAGTTGATATCTTCTCGGTCATCGACGAATGCCATTTGAATTTGTCCGAGTCCTATGGTATATTTTCCAGCAGCAACTCCATCATGTTGTTCTATCGAAGATAATGATTTTAAACAAGAGGGCATTTACGACAAGTCAGTATGAACGATACACCTCATGTGAAATCAGAATAAAGTAGTATCTACCTAGAGCAGTTTGCTCGATGCACTGTTACAAGTGAGTAAAAAAAAAGAGAGAAAATGTCAGTGAATTCATGTCCGCAGTGTATTATTACACAGAGCCGTGACCAAAGTCATTTCAAATTCAAAAGGCCCGGCCCAAGGAACGACAAGTTGCTTGTTTTAACCATCGTAGGGCCAGGAGATTAAAAATATGAGGGGAAAGAGTATAATGAAGAAAAGAGGCAAAGTGTGTAGGGTATGAGGGTAGAGAAATAAACATGACAAACATACCCGCCTGGGAAAGTAGATTTCCATTGCATGGATGCCGACGTTTTGCGGGTAGCCGGCGGGGGTGGTGGGATCTGCAGAGGAGAGCATATCGGACGACAGTTTGGCGGGGGGGATATGTGAGAAGGTGGAGAAGAGAGTGTGTGAGGAGGAGTGGGTATATATGTGGTGGAGAGAGGGAGCGGAGAGGAATGGAGAGGGCGAGCAGACAGACAGAGACAATGGGGGGAATGTGAATGTGAGCGAGTGGTGCAGAGAGGGAATGAACTGCACTGCAGCTGATCACCCGCGATAAACTGGAAACTGGAATCACACTCCCGCTGCTGTCTGCTCCTATTCCCCCATCTACTCTACTCTACTCTACTACTAAACACACAACACATAAACACATAAACACACTCATCTAAAAAGTGGAATTTACCTCCAACAGTACCAGGCATTATCTCTAGTTCGCTCGTGATTGGCTCGCCGCACGATTGCAAAATAAAAAGAATTCAACGCGTCAAGCGATGAGCGATCCCTGTTCTTATTGATAAACACATCCACTGCATTCCTCCCCAACTATATAAATACCCCTTCAACAAATCCACCAAACACTCACCCTCCATTACCCCCTACCGTTACTCCTTTTTTCTTCGATAGGGGTATCTCCAGTGTTCCTCCTTACTAAATTGACTGTCCTGCGGCCGCAGTCGCTGAGCAACCCCGCGAGGTAACGACTCCCTCCACGCCTCCGTGAAAAGTTCAAACTCCGACCTCGCATTTGGCTGTTTATCTCCGTCCTCTCTACTTTTCATCTAAATGGATCTACATACCACCAACAATCAACAAATCTCCAGGCGCACGATAACCCTCTTATTTTCTCTTAATTATCCTCTGATCATGACAACGGGCATCAGATAATCTTATCCACCTGCATAATACAAACATGAATTCACCTCGCTGCTCCGCCTGATCCTGGCATCAAAACAGCGGCGCACAGCCGCACACAACAGTGTCCCCTTTGTTAATCGGTGCACCTCAGGATCGTCATGTAACAATAGTTCAGCTAGGTCACTCAGTGGCCACTCACCACACATGAAATACTGCGCAGTGCGCATGACTTTATCCACATGATATTAAACATAATAATAATCTATTCTATTCACAATGAGTGAGGTTTCACCTACATTTACAAATATAATACATATTTTATACACCATGATTCGGTTTTCTACAACCTCAACCATCAATATTGTACAACGGTATAACAGCTCGCAATCCACAACCCAGATAAAATATAACCTCACAATCTCATTCGTAGACACTAGGATAATCTCCTGAACTCACATCGCTCTCATCATCTTCACCAGTATCTTCCCCCTCCTCTTCTTCCCCTTCTTCAAGTTCTCTCCCGCCATGCCCGCTTTCGGACTTATAATCCATCTGCCCAGACACACTTCCGCCCGCACTACTGCTCTCGACACTCGCAGATCCGCCACCACTGACTCTGGAACCAAGACTACTCTTCCCTACCTCGACTGACTTTTGTGGCGGTAGTGCCGGAGACGCATGCGACCTGCTTATGGTTGATCCAGAAACGGACGGGGAACTTGTTTTCCCCGAAGCGGCAGAAGAAGGCGGAAGTTGTAAATGCCCTGAAGCATTCGTCGGTTGCGCATTTTGGGGTGAATAATACGGTTTTAGTTTGGCCCGAATATGAGGGATGGTAGATTCGGCGTATTGCGACCAATGTGAGTACAATGTAAGAAGATCCTGTGTAATCTCAATAATCTGGAAATAATGGCAAGATACAAAAGAGGTTAGATGTGACCCAATAAACACACATAATTTCAACAATCTCATCATCCATGAACTAATGAATGACACACCTTTTCGACATCAACACTCAATTCAGAAAACCACTCTCTCATATCCTTCTCTTTGTCACCTTCCCCAACTTTCACTTTAGAATTAAACACGACAGACATGTATATTGCAGCCAAAGCAATCATATACGGCGGATACAGCAAGCACACGTCTGTTCGATAGGAATCATTAACGATGAACCAAGCAGTTTGAAGAATCGATTTATCCAGGTTGATTGAATTGGTGTATCTGTCAAAACGGGAAGATGTGTCAAACGTGAGAATCTCAACAAAAAATCAAGTCGATTTAACTGCCAATAGAGGACAGCATGCATAGAAAGAATAACGTACTGTAACAATGGTCGATAAGGATGATAAATAATTAAATTAAACTCTAAATCTTCTAACAAATAAAACTCAAATTCGGTGACATCCGAAATGTCATATAGGAATCCGCCATGACCTATTCCAAAGTTCCTGTTTAGACAACAACCCAAAAAGAGATGACAATCTCTCGACATTTAGGTTCCCATCGTAAAAATATACCTTGCATCCCATGTCTAAATTCATTCACGATAGTT